ATTACAGCGTGCAGTGTAGCAGTGATTTGCTGCAGAATATATCTGATTTTGTGCAACATCTTTGTCAGAAATAAATCAGATTAACAACTAAAATTAATATGAATTTTCCCATAGTGAGAGTATTTCACATTTATTCATATAAACTTCATTTTGTATTTTTTTACTCAATTGTTTCTTCAGTTTTCTCTGCTTGCTTCATATTACATTGTGAAAGTATTGACTCTTTATGCACTAGTTAATTGCATGTTCATCTGTTTCATTCCTCTGTGTGTGTGTGTGCATGTATGCGTGTGTGTGTGTGTGCATGCGTGCATGCACACGTGTGTGCGTGTCAGTACTGCAGGTGCTGAAATTGCTGAAATTACTGTATCAGTGGCCTGGCTTTAATGAACACTGTGATATTTGGACATTTTTGTCACTGACAAAGTGCGTCTCTGCACATCTGGTACTGAAAAGGGAGTGATGGTGCTTGAAAGAGGAAAGGGCTTGTTTTGATAATCACTTTGACTTGTTCCCCCCTTCTTACTCTCTTTAATGTGGTGTCATTATTGCTGAAATGTAATTAGCTATGCTAATGGGCTGACATTTGGACTTCCGTCTCAGCACTTACATTGGGACTGGTAAAAATATGCTGTAAATGAAGTGGGATGGCGAATGGAGAGCATGAATGGACATGTGAGGGTTGAGTGGAGGTGCTGAGAGTGTGATCGAGGGTGTTATTGAGTGTTAGGGCTAAAGTACTCCGGCGGAAGTGCAGAGGAGGGTTTTTAGATTAGGAATTGTTGGGGTGAAAGAGAAGAGCTGGAATCAAGGAGTGGATAAATAAGCTATTGGGAGGAGGAGAAGGGCAGAAAAGCCTTCAAAACCTGTTAAATCACTTTGTGTGTCATTGTGGTTAGTTGTGTGTGTGTGTGTGTGTGTGTGTGTGTGTGTGTGTGTTGAGCATGCGCTTGTGAAATTGCTTGTGCGTGTTTGAATATGGAGAAATTACAGGGTACCTCTGCAGCCCACAACAAAGAAATCCATTTAGTGAACGATAGTTTTAACAGGAACGTTGCATTAATCTGGTTTTGAAGAAGAAGATGCTGATGCAGACGAAGATGCGTTCTCGCCAGAGAAAACTAAAAAAACACGTCTGTACAGCAACACTTCCACCGTGGCTCCCATTAAAGCAATTAATATAAGCATAGTATGCATTTAAATGCCCACCAGCTTGAATAACATTAAGATGATATGAGTGAATCACTGTATTAGTAAATGAATACGTGACAGCAGAGTGTGACCTTGTACAGTCAGTATGTGGAGGGCCTGTCCACATGTGACTGACTATAATCATGCCTGGTGAGTTGTGGAGTCATTAATAGATTAAGAGAGATCAGAGATGCTCTTGTGCAGAGCAGGGTCATCTGGGAGGCTGCAATTTAAAAGCTGAGCTTATGCTGAGCTTGCTCATTTTTCCTGTCGCGTCTCTTCTTGTGTTTCCTCATCTTGATGTCTTTTGTCTCTGTACAGCGCGTCTTTGGACCAAGCACTGACAAAGAGAACTTATTTAAAGCTTTACTTATCCACTAGGTGGCGCTGTGCCTCTTTACAGTCCTGATAGGGCTAAATAAGAAGTCCTGGTTGCTCAGAAAGCAAACCTAAACATCCTTAGGGTGAATAGATTACAATAGGAGCAGAAGCCGCGGTATTCCACCCTCCAGGAGGCCGTTTGTTTTTTCTTTAATGGCTGAAAAGAGGCTGTTCCTCCTCTCTTCAGGAAGCATCGCACCCCGCAGACATACCTGTGTGAGCGCCGGGCGCTGACCCGCGTCCAACCTCCACAACCTCAGTGAGGGATCTGGTGTTTTGTAGGGCTGCCAGGGGCTCCAACAGGGATCCAGACCAGCTGAGGTTCAGTCTGTTTTAACCCCCCAACACCCTCTTTTTCTCTTGGAAAGGCTGAAACACTCCTGAGATCTGCAGCCTAAAGGAGTCTGTTGGTTTATTCTTGCACATACAGTAGAAGTGAAAATGAATCTGTCTCGAGTCAGTTTGTTCTGTTCTCGCTGTGTGTGTGTGTGTGTGTGTGTGTGTGTGTGTCTGTGTGTCTGTGTGTCTGTGTGTCTGTGTGTGTGTGTGAGAGTGTGTGTGTGTGTGTGCACCTGCTCACCCTGTGTTTTTCTCAGCTCCCATGGTGAAGCCTAATAAGTCCCATGAATCTTCAGCATCTTGTTTTGATTTTGTCCTGGGGTTGTTGTTCTAAACACTTTTGCTCACCAGAGAAGTTGAGCTTCCTGGTTTTCTGTTGTATGGCTCTTAAATGGAAGAATTCTCTAAAACCTTTCAACAAAACCAGGAATGCTGTGTCTTCAGCGTGTTTGCCTGTAACTATTCTACATTTTCTCTTTGCTCTTTGTAAATGTTCTGTATGAAATCAGGATAACTGTCAGACTGAAAGGATTTGCGTCGGCAGGTTCAGCACCTTGGACAGTTCCTTCACACTTCTCAGTCCGATGCAGCTCTGGCAGTAATTTATTAGTCATCAAAACAGCTTTAACTTGGCAGAGAGACTGGAATAAATGGACACAAATCGCGCATCAGTCAATATAGCCTGTTTCATTATTTACATCATTGATAATGTGTGGGCTGACTCGTGTTGCACAAACAGTGGTATGTAAAGAACAATAGATTTTTGTCTGCTTGCTGTAGCGTATAGGCCGAGGGATTTGGTTGCAGTAATGTTATTAAGTCAGGATTGCGTATTTGTCAAAAGCCCCGGTGGATTCTGCTCTCCACTGGCAGAAAATTCTGCTTTTATAGTCTATAGTTGTCCAGTAAAGCCAATGTAAATGTAAATGGGAAAAACAGGGCTGCATGAATATTTCTCTGAACTCTCAGTCCGTCTGTAGTACCTGTACACACACATCCTCACAGTTTGGCTAACGCACAATAATCGCACTGTATATACAGAAATGTAAAACCAACCCTGACAGACACTCGTTTCAAAGACACGTCGGTGGAATAGGCTGCGTTCTGACGGCCAGTTTCGGGGCTGTTAGAGGGAGAAGTGTCAGCGGCGTGATTATCAGCAGACAGATAGCGGATGACAGCTGCCATTGGTTATTGATGACTTTCATAATTAAAATCCCTTATGGGGGGAACCCAAAGAACAAAAGGGAAAATCACACAAATGATGAATAGTCCTTTCATCTTTAAGGCTGATATAAGACCCACCAGGCTCTTCAGCATGAATATTGCTTTCCAGGAAACTCTCTGAATGTGGTTTCAAAGAGGAGCCCAGTGCTTTTAATATTGCCAGAGCTCACACTGCCTGGATGTGTTTGTGTGCATGTGTCTGTGCCTCTTAGAGAAAATGAGGAACACACATGAGGAAGAAAAGAGAGAGCGTAGGTCAGACAGAAACAGAGATACAAGTCAGACAATGAGAAGGAGAAGAGGTCAGCATTGTCTTCTGCAGCATTTTCTGCTTTCATTGCAGTGAATCAGTGAGACTGCTGCTCCTCTTGTGCTGGACTCCACTGGAATAGCGTCATGAGTGGATGTCCACCCTGGGGGCACAGATTTCCTGATCGAGGATGCCTGTGTTTTACAGGGCTCTTTAAGACAAGTTAGCTTCTGTCCAGTTCCCAGTATCGGCTGTAGTGGCTCTTGCATTTGGAGAATATGTCTTTGTACGCTGAACTCACAATCACTGGACGAACAGTGCTGCCTTTGTTGTTGGTGTTGCTTGTTTTCCGCCTGGTTTGTTTTACCACCAATAGCACAGTTTCTGCAGCAGAGTAGATTCCAGAGTCAGACTAAATGTAGATTAAACACAGCTATCGTAGTTGTGTTTGTTCTACACTACCGTATATTATCTTCATCACAGGCGCTTTACGCTCTGATCTCGCTGCGTATACTGTGTACATTACAGCCATCTAATATCCAGACCTCGCCTTTGGTGTTCTGTTGTATTCAGTCCTCCCTCCCACAGAGAAAACAAACAGACAGATGTAGTGTTTGCGACTGTGGTTGAAGGATGAAAACAGATCCTTTTTAAAGAGGGTACAGGAGCAGATCAGACAGGATGACTGTCAGTGATCGTCTGCTCCCCTGCAGACTCTATAGAGTAAAAAGCCACATGCTTCAGAGCACCGCATGGCAGCTGTGTGGATGACAGAGAGAGAGAGAGAGAGAATGGGTATCCAGAGTGCCAGCAGCACATCGGGGATTTCTGCATGTCTGTCCGGGTTCTGTGTTCCAGCCTATTTGTGTGTACGGTGCCGTCAGAGTCGAGCTCCCACTTCTTCTCCCACTAACCTGCTAAACAGTCCCCTTCAACCCACCCACAACCACTCAGTCCTCCCTCTCCACATCAGGACGGGGCTGTTGTGACATCACTCATTCCCACGCACTCTGATTGGCTGGCCGGTGGAGGGAAGTGGATTGTTCCTGCAGTCTACAGTGAAAAATTGAGAGAGAGAGAGAAAAACGTGGGAGGGAAGGACCAAGGTAGACAGTGTATGGGAGAGAAGAGAGAGAGAGCGAGACGGAGAAAGGGACTAAGCAAGAAAGATTGATGCTGAGGCAAGCCGGCACTGCGCTGCACTCACACACACACACACACACACACACACACACACTAACAGTCATTGCAATACGCGTACTCACACATCACACTCCCAAGCTGCTTAACAGGCAGGAAAAACACTGAGTCTGACTGAGTCTGCAGTCCGTTGCTGCAGGACAGGACAGAGGACAGCTGGGCTTAGACGGCGAAAGGAGAAAGCGGAGCCGATACCTTCCTCCCTGCTTTACCTCAGAGCAACAGTTCCACCGCTGTCATCTCTAGAGGTCCGGTGCTCCAGGGAGCGCTTTAAAGACACCTCCCCAAAAAAGGGGGAGGCAGCAAGGGCAGCAGCAAGGGCAAGTGTTTCCTCTCCCAGAGGTTGTTGTGGATGTCCTCTCAACGTCCTCATGACAACAGGCAGAAATCAAGGCACGGTCTGGGGCACAAGATGGCACGACGAGTAGGGGGCGAAAGCTCCTCGAAAAGGAAGATGTCCCTCAACCTGGTGGCCGGGTTCTTCCACTACCTCCGTGGTAAGTGGGGCAGTATGTGTGCATGGCTGTGCGTGCTCCTAACATGGGGAGACTAAGGAAAACACAATGTATGTGTCTTGCTTGTGTGATGGGCTGTCCTGCATGTGTGATTTAGCGTGGCGCTGCAGCATGGACTGTATGTGCCGACTGTATGTGTGTGTAAATGTATGCATTTTGCAGTGTGATTTCTAAACCAAGAGTTCCCCGCAGGCTCGCTTTTTAAAGGGGCGGCGAGTGTGTGTTAAGTGAAATGGGCAGACATTTGAAGGGGGCGTTTCCACCTTGGCAGAGTGTGTGTGTGTGTGTGTGTGTGTGTGTGTGTGTGTGTGTGGAGGTTGCGGAGTTTTGAGCCTACAGCAGGTGAAGCAGGTGTATCCAGCAGACAAGTAGCAGCTTACTGCATGTGTCAGAGCACAGCAGGCTGACTGTCAGGATGTTTGATTCCAGATTCGCTCTGTCTGACCCTGTGGCTATCTGCCTCATTCTGTCTGACTGATAGATACGTCTTTATCTAATTATTCTATTGAGAAATTAGACATGAAATAATCTAAAACATGTGAGCATTAGTCAGACAATGTGTTTGAAGTCAGTGTGTACATCGCTGCTGCCTGTTTTTGAACCGGTCCCTTCACAGTTTGTCAGCATTTTGAGACGACAAACTGGATTTTAATGATGTTTCATTAAGGTCATGGTCACTGTGGGGGGTCAGAGTGGGAAGTCAGGGCTGTGGATGAGACTAATGAAACAGAGGGTAATCGGCTGTGTTAAAACGCTGCTGTGAGGTTTGGTTGCTGAGGACGGCTGTTTCCCTTTGTGATGCTGAAACACTGTGAATGTGCTTAAGTGCGACTGTGTGTGCGCAGAGTTCAAAGTCACCTCGTCCCTGAGACGGCGAGGCTGGCACCACGCACGTGCAGACATGTTCTCCGTCACACATGTTCCTGCTCTGAGATGCTGCGCTTCAGTCTTTCCCATTCTCATCCAATATTACCTCCCATCAATATTTGATTACTCCTGGACCCAATCAAAAGATTAATTCATAGAACAGGGACCTGCTCAGTGGCACGTATGACTATGCGTGAATGTATCTGCATTATGTATGAACGTCAACCCCCCCTCCAGTCCCTCACTCTCCAACACACGCTCATATCTCCTCCTGTTTGCCCACAGTACCCAGTGACACACTAACCAACTTGACTATAATCAAACCGTCAGCATATTTCATTAAGGTAGAGGAAAGCACTGTGTCAGACGTCCTCTTTCATTGATAACGTGCTTATCTCAAGGATATTGCTCTGCAGCGCAGACGGGACAGAAGAAATCCTCGTGCCAGTGACTGTACGAGATGGGATCCTTTGAGTTCCAGGCAGACTGTGTTGTGTGCACATCCATATGAATGTGTCACTTCCAGAGGCAGCAGGTCCCAGTTTTTATTGCAAGCGCTGCAAACGACATTGAATTTTGCTGTTAAAAGGGAGCAGGAAGAATAGATTGCAACTGGAGTGCATTAGCTGGTTAGCAGAAAAAATGCAGCAGAATAAACACACTTCCCAAAATGATCTCTTTAACTTATTTCTTTTTTTGTGTATGTTTGATTTTGAGCATGTGAAAGAGATGACTTGATTTATTGTCTCCTTCTCATTTAAGTGAAGTGGCTTTTTAGGGGACATCGTCAGCAGACATCTACGCTATTGATTTTGACTTTGCTAAAAGGCGTTTATTGCTGCAGCCACCACAAACAATGTCCTTCCTTGTGCGTAGGTAAATCACAACATTTGGAGTCAGGTTGGCTCTGTGTAATCACAGTACTGAACACTGCAACAGAGAATAGTTGTATTCACAGATGGATAAAACAGTCGTGTGGGTCAGGGCAGATATAGGAAGAGCTGCTGCCCCTTCCATCACTTAAAGGGCATTTTTGAGAGCAGAATTTTCTGTCCACTCTAAGATGAGTTCAGCTCGTGAAAATGCCATCTGTAAATGTCAGATGCCTTCTCTCAGTACATTAGCGTGAGGTGGGATTTGGTGTGACTGTGTTCAGACACATTAAACAGAAAGTAATAGCATCAAAGTTAATGAGAGTCACCATCCAGCCCTGCAAACCTCGTTAGCTCTCAAAACAATAGACAATGAGAAGATTGTGTTTTAATCCCGTCTTTGTTTATTATTGCATGTGATTAATAATGATGCTCTGGCTCTGATTTACAGATGAGCAGGAGGCAGTGCAGAAAAGGACATTCACGAAATGGATCAATTCCCACTTGGCGAAGGTAAGAGGCTCTGCTTGAAGCTCCCTGCTGCTGCCAGCATTGTTTTGTCCATTTACTCTAATGCTGGTGCGGGTGTTTGCGGACTGAAAACTTCCCTGTCTCATTGTTTTCCCACTTTGGATTGCTTTACCTTACTCCATCCACTGAGGGTGGTTTGACATTTGCTCCATTTCCAGAACACACCGGAGCGGGTCATGGGACCCACTGTGCCAGCTACGACCACACACACAGTCATTGCTGCTCGCATGCCTTTCTCCTTCCTTTTCATTCTTCCAGTCCCATTTAGCTTGTAGCAAGGATTTGCTCCGACTCTAATTATCACTTTCACATTACAGCATTTATTGCTCTGTATATCTTTTTTTTCTTTTTCCTGGAAGCTACTGAGAGTAATTTACATCTCAGCAACCATTCTGTCTCAATATGGGCCAATTTAGATTGTTCAAGATAAGAGGTTTTAGTTAAAGCCTGCCCTTCATCTGTCTCCTCAATGTGCTTGGACAACAGTATGTCTGTAACTTATCCTAAACAATTACGTTTGATGCAGCCACATGCTGGCGGGGGGAGCGTCGTGTGCCTGTAATTATTGTGTTATACTGCATTAGGCTCCTCAATTTCACCCATTACTGCCTAAACGGTGTGTCAGGAATGGGTGGACAAGGCAAATATGGCACACTGCAACACAATTAAGTGTTATTTCAATCAGTGACGCTCCTCTCAAGGTTTCCTATTTGATTACGACAGCTGTGGAGGCCTCGAACCGCGGTGACGTGGAGCAGAAAATTCATTTGAAAAGCACTCCGAAGGGAATAAACCTTGACGTAATATTAAATATCACGTCACAGGACTGTGCCAGCAGAAAATTGCACACAGCCCAATGTTTAAATGGCTTGAATTTTTAATAACATTTAAGGTGAGGACATAGTTTATTTATGAAGTTGTCCTCCTGCCATGGAGAGAGCTGCGATGCCTTCACTGTTTCTTGGTTGTTCAAAATTAGGAGAGGGATTCATGAAAAGTCTGGGAAACATGCTTATTCTGTTTCCTTGAGTGTTGGAGGATAACAGTGACTCAACTCTCACGTCTGTATCAAGAGATGTATAGACGGATGCAACAGCTTAGCTTAGCATAAAGGCTGAAAACAGCAGCTCATCAATGACCATTAAAAGCTTTACATGCGCTTATAAAGTGCAGTAATGTGTTAATTAACGAGCTTTAGAGATGCTGGTCAGCAGAATGTTCCTGTTTCTAGTGTCCATAGTAAGAAAACAGGCTTTCCAGAGGTGAGAGTGGCATCAGTCTTCCCATCTGACTTTCTTCAGCACAGGAAGTAAGCATATCCCCCAGATGTCTAACTATTGTTTTAACAGAAGTAAAGCTTGAGTTGCATCTAATCAGCTGCTGAACAACTTCTACAGTTTTTCACTGTTGTCCTGGTTGCTGTGCTCTCTGATGCTTCTGTTGTCCTGAACTGGACTTGTGAAGAACAATCACATGAACAGCTTTCTGGGCAAGATGGTAACTTGAAAAAATACCAGACATCGGTTCACTCACGTCGTGGCAGCTATAGCTCGGCTTGTTGCATACAGGCAAAAGAACAATAATGGTTCATTATAGAAAAGTCATGAAGTAGAAGATGATGCAAACATGGCAGAGAGCTCTCAGTCTCGGTCTCATGCTTCTAGGATTCCTCAGGATGAGGAGCAGCGTTGTCTCGTCTCTTGTTATGATGCTGCTCTCTCTTCTGTGTTCAGGAAACAGAAAAGGAAAAATGTCTTTCAGTGAATTAGTTGGGTTGAGAAAAAACTGGAAAGAGAAACAGATAGCAGAGAGAAACAATGCACAGGAAGACAACAGAGGAAGCTGGTGAGGCCGGAGCTGGAGTTACCTGCAGAGATGTCAGAAGAATAAACTACAGGAGAGAGAAGACACCAACGTAAGGACATGTAGCAGCGGCATATAAATGTATGGAGCATGAGAGAGAGGAGGAGCAGGGCTCAGTGCTTCATGGGAAGTCCTCCGGTAGCCTGGATCTACAGCAGCGTAACTAAGGGTTGAGTCTGCCCTAAATACAAACTCTATCAGAATAGAAAGTTTAAGCCTTATCTAAACGTATAGGATCTGTCTGCCTCCTAAACCCAGACTGGGAACTGGTTCCACAGGAGAGAAGTCTGATAACTGAAGCCCCCAGTCTGCTTTTGTACCAACTAGGAAACACGAGGAAGCCTGCTGACGGGGAGTTGTTTTACAGTATGATGGTGCTGTGAGATCTTTAGGATAAGATGGAGCCGAGTCATGAAGAGCTTTGTATGAGAGGTACAAGAGTTTAAAGTCTTTTCTAAATCTTACACGGAGCCAAGAAAGAGAATGTGAGAAATGAGTGGTCCTTAGTAGCCTGTCACTCAGTCAGTCAGCAGGAAATGTAGAAATAGAAAATATAGATAACACATTGATTCATGTGATTTCAGTATTGCTGAAAATTATGCTGAATTTTTCCTACAATGCAATGAACTAAAATCTTTCAAAACCACACAACATTCAGGGTTTCACATAAAACACGTAGTCTGGGCCAGAACCAGTACCTCCTATCTGGGTTACACATCATCTAAGCAGGTCGTTCATGTCGTTTGAGACCAGCACTGTCTCAGAGAGGATTCAGTCTGAGTCACTTTTTTGATGCTTATACAAGGAATACGAGGAACAAATCCGCAGCCTGGACCCATAACAGACCTCTGTGGTCATCATCAGAGCCAGATGGTTCTCCTACAGGGTCAGCTGGGTTACTGTCGGGAAGCAGAATGCAGCTTTTGATGCATCAGATCTCAGGAAGCACAGCTACAAAGCTCACTGTTACGCTCCTGTCTGGTTCCACCGAAGAACAACTCTGACCTGCTTAGGAAAGTCTCAGAAAGTGAAGCGTTCGGGTTTCCTCTGTCCTTGGATCCACGCTACAGGAAAATGTGAGGAATTCAGCTAATAACCATATTTGTTCCTCTCTACCTATTTGATCAAATTACGTATTGCTGCTCCCCTCCTCGTCCATCACGAAGCCGCTTACCCTTTCACCTGATGCCTGACGTTGCCATAGCGACACTGATTGGCCTATATTTGTCTTCAAAAATGTCCTGGTTGTCACGGCAGCTCGGCGAGTGTTCGGAGAGCTGTGGGATGAGTCGAGGGAAGAGTCACTTACAGCCGGTCTTTAGACTAGTAGAGACTAAACGCTGAGTTTATTGGCACATGTAGAACTGCACAGAGACACATGGGCGTGAGACAGACAGAAGGATAGAGAGGGGAAAGAAGACAGAGAAGCTTTAACAGTTGGTTTAGCTTTGCTCTCAGAGGGATAGATCATGCCCTTGGCTATGCAGATGATTAGGCCACTCCAGTTATCACAGGTCTTTAATTCAGCGCCTAAAGGTATGTGATTAATCGTTAGGTGAGCTGAGACATAGCATGAGGGCTTCCTTTCACTAGCACTCCCCTCCCCCGTACTTTTCCACTCCACAGGTATAACAAAAGAAGTCTTATGAGCTCTGACAAAGACTTTCTATGAGAGGGGACGTATTGAAGCTGGTAATTTATACAGAAGATTAATGACTCTCATTACTCGCAGTAGTTCACCAGATTAACTCACCAAAGATATGAACTATGAGAGAGTGGCAGGGCGCTGTGTTTTTGGTTGTGTTTGTTGTTTAAACAGAGGGTAAAGCTGTTTAGATGACACTCCAGTGTATTGCCTTACAGTTTTGCTTGCCTCCAAATTCTGCCTGGAAAGGCTCAGTTTCAGTTTTCAGCCGTAGTCGGCTTTCAAGTTGCGCTCGGCAGTGGATTGACAAGCACAGGATGGGGGGATTCAGAGAGCGGACCCCAAGTTTCCATTTTGACAAATCCTTTCTGAGAAGGTTAAAGCTTAATTAGGAAGTGGCCAGTGTGAGCAGCAGAGGTCTCATCGTCTCTCAGGCGTTTTCCAGGCAAACGGCTTTAGTGCAGCAATCAGTGAACCAAGTGTTCTTAGAGATTACAGCAGCAGTAAGTGAAGCTCCTCTCTGTGTTTACTCCACTGGTCCCCAACGCTCCCTCCTCTTTAAAGGGTGGGACCAACGGGATTTAGTGGGAGACATCCTCCATGCACACTAAATTCAAACAACCAGTCATGGTACACAGGACGGGCCTCAGCAGCTGAACGGCCGGGATGTGGTTCATAATGTGTCCGTTGGTCACCTGTTAGCTCTGCTTTTCCTTTTCTTAATAAATTGTTATGGATGCAATCAGTAGCTGTGTCTTTGCCAGTCCACCTCGTTCATTTCAGTTTGTCTGTACTTGGTGTTTCGTGTGGCGGTCGACTGAGTGTTTTTCAGGGCAGATACTGAATATTAGTAATGCAGGAGACAGTAGCTGCTGTTTGGAAATAATACACTGGCAGTAAAAATGAACATGTATGGAGGATGTTACTCAACCAATCAGATATGTCGGCAGGACACTGATGGAGGAGACAGAGTGTCCACACATAAAGGGAGGCAGCTGCATTTTTAAACGAGCAGAGTTTATCTGGAATCCGTTCAACAAACAGCCATACCAACAAAAACGCTAGGAAGTGGCTCCCATAATCTGTTGAGCAGTAAGCAAATGTTAGCATCCTCACACTTTGACTGAGATGTGAATTATGGTAAACATCAGCACTGCTGTAACGCAAAAAAAGTGTGTTGACATGTGCAGCACAGTGAAGTACATAATCTGTGGATGGGAGCCGTGTTTGTCGTTTTTCCCCCCAATATTGTACAATATTGTATTAATCATATATAGCTGTCTTTAACAGTAAAACGTCTGTTTGTCCATTCAGTTCATGTAACTGTTGTTTGTAGGCCACTTGTCTTTCTCCGCTGTATAGATGTATATGTATAAGTATAGATATGAATCTTCTACCACTCCCACCAATGAATCCACCGACTGCAATGAGAAAAATTACTGACGCTGGTACTTTAATGTGCAAATAGAATATCTTCAGCTCCATAAGATCTGGACAATAGACGTGTAGTATCAGTTGTTCCTTTAAACTGGATGTACTGCCATTCTTTCTTTGTTTCTGCTCCTCCCTGCGTCTTCTATGATGTGGATTTTTTGGAATCCACTGAGTCAAGTGCACCAGGGGAATAGCACGAGAGCTCAGCGCATCCTCATACTCCTCTGCTCACAATCAATTATGGCCCAGACACTCATATGTAATTAGCTCATTAAGTTCTTGATTTATTTTTTTAGCGCATGTTGCTTAGCAGAGGAAATGAATATTACTTTCTTATTTTGTAATTAGTCTGAAATTTCCTCATTAGCTTCGGGATTATAATGAACAAATAGGTAAATTTAACTTCAATTACCTCATGGTATAATTCATCCCTTTGAAGGCTCTTTGTAAGTGCTTCTTCTGTCACTTTATGATACGGGCACAAGTGTGTCTGAATATTCTAATATCCAAAACCATAAAATGACATTAGAAGAGGAATTAGTGAGAAGAGCTTCTGTGTTTGCTAATTAATTTTGAAAGACGTAAGGTTACTGTCCCCTCTCTCTCCGTCTTCTATCATCTTTCACAGTTAAACCCGTCTCACAAATTCACCATGTTGGGGTTGCATATGTTTTCCTCTCACCGTGCACGCTCTCCACTCGCACGTGGTAACACAGACACACTCGTGCACACATCTCCACTCGCCTTCCCTCTCTTCTCGCTCTCTCTCGCTCCCTTTGCCGCTAATCTCCCTGTGAATGGTTCGCTCGTCTGAACGCTCCCCCTCCTAAACCTCTCCTCAGCCCCAGCATGTGACTGTGCTTTAAGAGAAATCCTTGATGTGGCGTCGGCGAGAAACAGAGATATGTGGATTTCCTCAAGTCTGGAAGTCTGTGTCAGGTCAGGGAGGAAGTCATCGGGAAGGATACAGTTTGAAATCATCAGCATATTTTAGGATTTGAGGAACCCATTCAGTGTCTGCTGAGCCTTTGCTCATGAGCGAATCTAGCTGTCAGTAATAGGCAGCGCTGCCAAACTCTATTTGGGCTCCAAGTGTGTTTCTTATGAGGATTTCCCTTATCCGTGTTTCACAAGTTTAAATTAACGTCTTACAGCGTAATATATGCATTGTATCCTCGTTTATATGTGCTAGGCCACTTAGCGAGGGATATTGTGCAAAAAACCCACGTCTTGCCTCTTGGTTTCATATACATGGCAAAAGCTATTAAGACTAAAATCCCAGATCTTTGCATTCCATGAAAACTGAGAAGGCTTTGTCTGCGCTCATGCCATGGAGCGTTAACATAAACAGTGAACTTATGGGACTAATTAACAGTTACAGGTTTTGAAATGCTTCTTGGACACTTCCAGACACACTGTGATGTTTTAAACCATACGGCTGCCCGGAGGTCAGAGAGCAGCGTTTTCAGTTAGTTTTCTGTGTTAACAACTAAAACATCGACACATGAACCATTATTTCCACTTGTGCTTGTTTGGATATATGAAGTGAGAAGCTACATCAACTGTATTTGTTTTCCTGTGCAGCACGTCCCGCCTCTGGTGGTGACGGACCTGTTTGAGGACATCAAGGATGGTGTGATGCTCCTGGCCCTGCTGGAGGTCCTGTCTGGACAGAAGCTGGTGAGCCTCATGGTCATTCCTACAGCGTGTGACTGGGCCGCACACTTCAAACACTTCCATCCTCTGATCTTGCTGGATTACATTTTTTGCTTGATCCCGCTGAGCCGACATGACGTAGATCAGGTTAGGTAGAAGAGAAGATCAGTCATTCGGCCGGTTTGTTACGTAGCAGTCAGCGGTCAGACTCAGAACAGACTTAATGCAGCGCATGTGAAACGAACCACAATTAGATGGAAATGCTTATCGATCGGTTTTATTAGGATGTTTGAATTGAGTAGGAAAGCTCAGATTAACGAGGGCAGATCAGAGTTCACAAACACAACACAGACAGCCTGAGGATCTGACTCGGCCTCTACTGCCTCAGGTCTGAGCTGTCTGTGTCCTATTGATCTGCCAACAGTCAAACAGCTCTGATTGTACCTGTGTGGGATTTTTCTCATTATTTCACAACCTGTGTTTCTGTCTTCATCTATATTCTGTTTTCTATTTGATTCCTTGTAGATGTATTTGAGGTTAAGCGCAACATTTCCACACATGTGTTTATAACTATTATTAGTATCTGAAAGATCATTTCTTCTTTTCAGTAGCACGGTTTTATTTGATCCACTCTCTATCGTTCCCTGTCTGTCTCTGCTTCTTTCTTTTCATGTCTATTGTTCTCCTTTTCCCTCCCAGCCATGTGAACAGGGCAAGAAGCTAAAGAGGATCCACTGGGTCGCTAACATCGGCACAGCTCTCAAGTTCCTTGAGGGTAGGAAGGTAAGCGTTCACTGCCTTCTTTTTATACTGTTCTTTTTTTTCTGACTTGTACCCGTCCTACTGCTCTCCCTGTTCATCTGGTGCCTTGTGGGCATAAATATTGAGTCCTGACCTTGTGTGACCCGTTCCCCCTTCCTCCTCGCCTGACTCTCCGTCTTCCCTCATTTGTCCTGAAACCACAACGTTCTGTCTTCGTATCCCGGCACAGACTTTGTTTTTTGCCGTTGTTCACATTTGTCTTAATTAAGTAATTCAATAAATGTGTTTGTCTGTCTATAAATGACAAGAAATTCTTTGAAAATTCAACTATTGAATTATTGTGACAGATTCTATTATTTCAGATGATCACTGTACTTGTTGGCCCGATAGATGTTTTGTGTGTGCTCCAGTTCTCTTTCTCAACAATCAACACCATTCCCTCCATTCCCAGCTTCACTGGCAGAATCACACCGAAACCCGCTCAGTATGGTTTGGATGTAGTGATCAAGATGCATCAACTGCCCTTCCATGAGATTAGTGAAACCTTCTGAAAGCCGTGCCTGGCTTGTCCTTGGATATACATAAATAAAGCCATAAGTATGAGCTGGTGTCTGCAGGGACATTGATTTGTCTTCCTCAAGTGTGACAGGGTTAAAACTGTAAATCCTGCCGCAGTAATCTGCAGTCTGGAGATGAGGCGTCAGTGGCCGCTCTGCTCCATGTGTCACTGTGTAAATCTGTGGGTTGGAAATTAAATGTAAATATTTTCTGTGTGTAAATCGGACGTACGTTTAAACCGGATTTCCATTTGACTTTAGAAGCTCAGTTGCTTTGTGTGTCTAACACATGCTTATGTTCTGTGTTAGACGGTGTAACTTGTGTTTGAATCCCTGTTGTACATTTATTTAACTGGAAATCCAGACTCTCAGCTTTAATGTCAGCCAGGGCTGCAACTTATCGCTGTTTTAATCATCATTTAAGCTGCTTGTTTTTTCTCAAGGATGTGAAATGAGAGCAAACAGAACAAACATCTGAACACAGTTTTCCAGAACCTGAAGTGATCTTCTCAGCATCTGGTTTTGTCTGACTCATGGCACACATGCTGTCGAGTTCACCTGACGGCTTCACAAAGGGAAGCAGCAAACGCTCTGCTCACCCAGTAATTGATAGGATTGATTGGTTGATCAGGAAGTTTGTTTTGCTCGTCAGTGACTTGACTAATGTTGAGTCATTTCTATTTGAGCATGTTTCAGACACCAACATGACCTCTACTGTACGGCTGCCTGTGTTCTGTTTGCTCGTGTAACCAGTCCAGCCTCATGCTGCTGTGCTGATTTGCCAGGATAACCTACGGTGTTGTCTGATATGAAACCATGTATTCCATATATTCTTATCTGTCACTATCCCACGCTGCCCTTGCCTGCCCTCAATCTTCTCTCCATGCTTGTTTACGTATACGGGGTGGCAGGTATTACCATATGATGACCTGTTGTGCTGCGGCGCCTCAGTAATATAACACTGTGTGTGATAATATAGAATACTTCATCATATCCCAAGACGCCCCCCACCCTCTTTTCCCTTTCCCTTTTCTGCCCCTCTCTCCCTTTCTTTCTGCCCCTCTCTGCTGGATATAATCCCTGTTGCCTGTGTGGGGGTGATAGATCTCCCCTCTCAGCCAACCACTCCAGTTATCTCACCTCAGAGATGCTATCTCACAGTCAATGAGGCGTTTGCTTTCAATCAGACACATCAAGACTACTTCTTAATGCTCTCTCTCCCTCTCTCCCTCTCGCTCGTCCTACTTCTGCCTGACTTCCTGTTTCTTATCGTTCCCAGTCTGCCTACAGAGGATCTCCGGTCAGTATTCATAACATTACTGGTTTGTTCAGGACGTGGACTAGATAGAGTCCAGACTGTTTACTGTTAATTCTGTGGAGACACGCTGCATGAGACTGATTCACCAGACTGTGTGTTTACGTCATCCACATGTACGAGATTATAGCACAGTTCAGCTGAATACACTGGAATAGTTTGCAATGTGGAATTATTTGCTCTGTTTATGAGATATTCTAATGCTGGATGTTGTTTCTGGACACAGATCAAATTAGTGAACATCAACTCTACAGACATCGTGGATGGACGACCATCCATCGTACTGGGTTTGGTGTGGACCATCATCCTCTACTTCCAGGTAACTGCTTAAGGAAGTCCTATTAATGTCAAATGCAATGCACATAACTTAGCATATTATTTTTCAATTAGGCAATGCCACAAAACAATGTGATTAAAGTTGATGTTCACTAGTTCCTGGTGTGAACATCACTAATTAGCTCATCACAAGAGCTTCACACTGACAGCCAACATGGTTGGTAACATACAGGCAGCACGTGTGTGATTTTCTAGGCTGCAAGAAAAAACTTAAGCGATTTCAACTAAAGAGACATTTAAAATGGAAAAATCAATACTTCAAAGCATCCACACTGAAAATGAGCAGTGGCTTCCTCAAGCATTTCAGACTGATCAACAAAAACGTCATCCTGATGAGACGGTCTCTTAGCAACATCAGCCCATGTAGAGGAGCGCTGTTCCAGCAAACATGACAGCATTAACTCAAGAAACGCACAAGACTGAATAATAGAGTAATATATATATATATATGTCCACTCACTGCCATGCAGTACTGATGCCAGTAGGATGTGTTTTATTTACAGGCTTTCTGAGCTGTGAGGAGCCACAGTTTGTTGGCTGTGGCGAGCTGAGGATAGATTATGTGTGCATGACAACAGATCGTCCACAGCCAGTGAGCTGGCTTGGGATGAAGTCTAGTAAGACTTTAGATTGCTGTCCCAACTTATGAATATACTTGTTTTTTTTCCCCACACATGGATAATAACGTGAAATAATGCAAGCTATAAAATGAACAGCTACATGTGGACAAAAACAAAATGTACATGGGCTAATTCGTTTATAGGTGAGATCTGCACATGTATTGATTTAAGAGCAGCTTTACAGCAGCTGAACAGCTGGATGATGCAGATGTGTTCTCCAAGTGGTGTCAGTGCAGAGTGACATCAATACTGATCAAATAGAAACTTTCATTGTTTTATGTTTTCTGTTAATCCAGTGACCACAAAAGCTATTCATTCTGCATTTGTTGTCTAAAGTCTTTATGTGAATGCAGCTTCTCCTGGCTGAGAGCTGTGGATGTTTTCTTCTGCTGTGATGTATGCCTGACTGTGTGATCCTTGTGTGGGATGGGATAAATGGACTCACGTCAGTTAGAATGAAAAAAAATGTTAAAAGCAACTTAGCCCTGTTGCTTCCTTTAGAATGTGCAGATCAAGACCATCCTCACCTCTCTCTTCATGCACCTCTCAGTTCTTGCTGCAGCTGAAGCACACAAATGTACCTGCAGCTCTGACCAAACGGTGTCGAGCTGCTCCACGCTACACGATGGGAGGTTGTCATGTTGTAGAGATTCAACCATGCATGTTCAAACTGGTAACTGATTCTGAAGACGAATACTGATACAGACGCGATGTAGGTAACCCTACAAGCTGGCAGGTTTCTCAGGTTTGTTATCAAATCCCTGAAGTCTGAGTCCATGTTTTTGAGACTGTCGTTGGTACGTTGCAGTCTTGAGGTGGAAACACTCAGCCATGGTGTTGACCTGTGGGTTTGCTTGTGATGTGTGTTCTAGCATACAGAAAACATTATATGGACGCCTTAACAAGGTGAACAACTTGATTAGCATCAATGGGGGAACTTCAAGCCCGACTTTATCCTGTTCTTTGCAGATTGAGGAGCTAACCATCAGCCTACCAGCACTCCAGGCCTTGTCCAGCAGCACCTCCTCATTGGACAGCTCCACCAGCAGCACTGAGACCACCAGCCCACCTGTCAAAAAGAAACCCCTCCCACCCCTGCAGGGTGGAGCCAGAAAGGCCTTACTGAGATGGGTTCAGCTGACAGCCACCAAGTATGAAGACACATTTATAATGTTTGCAGATAATAAATGTTAAATCCACTGAGTGTGAAAACTGTTTCCAAAGCCACTGCGTCGTAGGTTCTGTTTTTGTCTGCTGTGACCTTGTGATCTTCTGTCCTTTGCAGATGTCTGGGGATTGAAGTGAAAGACTTTGGCCCCAGTTGGCGCACTGGTTTGGCATTCTTTGCAGTTATCAATGCCCTCCGGCCTAATCTCGTTGACATGGAGCGTGTATGGAGGAGGCCCAATCGAGAAAATCTGCAGGAAGCCTTCCTATTGGCTGAGACGGAGTTTGGCATTCCACAGCTTCTTGACCCAGAGGGTAAATAACATTTCCTACAGCCTTTCCTCGAGACTTTGTCGTTGCATTTATTAACACTGAACTGAACAGGGATTTGTTTCAGCGGCCAGCCACACACACACAACATCATGGGATCAATGACCTTCAGGCGACTGTATTTCCTTTTGTTTTTATCGTGCTGTGTTGTCTTTAATAGAAAACAGCGTGATTTTTGCGTCACTCAGATAATGTGAATTAACTTAACCTAAATCAGTAGTTTCTCATCAAATACAGCTTGAGTTGCAGAACACAGAAGGACAACAGTGAGTCTGTCACAGCATCACTGCCAAACACCAGCTGTGCTCCTTCACGCCTGCCCTTCACAATGAACTCTGACAAATCAAGCTTGACATCAGGATAATTAAGGTCCATTAGGCCGTGAGATTCAGCATGGTGGAACCTCTATACGGGATTTGGACACTGATCTATAATGCTGAAGATTTTTGTACATTTCAGATGCCACCTGTCTGTGTCAGTCCAGCCTCCTCCTATCAGAGCTCATTACTCTGCTCCATGAGACAAACTGTTAAAGAATCTGCACCTGATTTGTTTTTGATTACATCATTTGGTTCCCTCCTCAGATGTTGATGTCGACAAACCAGATGAGAAATCTGTTATGACATATGTAGCTCAGTTCCTGAAGCATCATCCTGACCGAAAGCAGAGCGACTCCGAGGAGCAGCCAGAGGAAGAGGTGAGCAGCTGCCAGATTAGTCACAGTCTGGATATGCCTATCGCTGTCCTTGTCTTCTCTTTGTCTGCATCCTCACTGTTTATTTTCTCTCTTAGATTGACTCCAGTTGACTTTAGTCATGATATATATTAATATATACATGATAGAGTAGATGGCATTCCCTCTTTGTTCAGTCTGTGTGTAGAGCCAAGTACTGTTAACTTATTATACCGATTTAATAAAATCTGTGACTCAATACGTTTTTTCACAGTAGTTTGATTTTATATGCAGTAAGGTCTACGACTCACTTTGTAAAGTAGGTTAAAGCTGTGGTGTCACAGAGGTCTGGCGGGTCTGTCTCGTCTGTTTCATGTCTCTGTTTTTGTGCATCTCTCCTCTTGTCTTTCTCTCTGGTGTCTTTGTATGGTGACTACTTTCCTGTGGTTGTTGTGCTGGCCTCTGTCCCACAGCATGATGTTGCTCCCCGCGATATAGAGGAAATGTTGGAGGTAGGTTATATAGCAACTTAAGGTCCCAGGGGCAGGCTTTCAATCATTTCCTGCAGCTCAATGCAATTAGCAACCATGCTCATTCATGGTTTCCATATAAATCTGATTAATTTGTATTTTTCTGGCTGTTCTATTAGATTTCTGTATCGCTGCATACTGTACATTGTAAGGATGAGATTAAACGTTGTTTTCTCATGTCAGAATAGAGCCTATATGCTAATAGCGGCTCTTTATCTTACCTGATGGGATATTCCTGCCCCGGGGTTTCTGAGCCGTGATAACAAAAGGAAGTCCAGTGTAATAAGATGTGATATTACCATTTATGAACGTTACCACCTAGCGCTACGGCTCCTGGAGCCATTAGCATGACAATGAAAGCCTCTGGCAGCGGCAGTGTGCACTGACACAGGGTGTTTGATTCGAGGCATGTGAATAGGGGTTGCCTGTTTTTAAGGTTAAAGTCTCCAGAGCTGCGACGGGCTGTGAAGCCTCCCACTGACACCGATTAGGCTGCATGTGTTTGTTGTGTTTCGAGCCTTCTTTGTTATTTGTTGCTCACACGCTAATGTAAAAGGGGTCACTTAGCCGTTGTGTTTTCACATAAAAACAACAGAAGTGCTGAAATGTAAAGCAAACAGCAGCTGATAAATACATAAAAATATCTGTAAGAAGTGTGGTGGGTTCAGTATGACTGATATCAGACTGCTTCCCGGTAGAATGAACTCAGTCTGCTGTCAGAAAGAAGAAAGTTTGGGCTTTCTGCCGGAGCCAACGTGAAATGCTAAAACTGAACTGACTGAGACTGAGCAGCTCTCAGACTGAATGGTCTATCACACCAGCTTTGGAGCACCATAGTATTATCGTCATGGTTACTTAAAATCCAATGAAATGTTAGTAGGGGGTCTTAGACAAAGTACCCTGTTTAAGCTGAGTGTTTTTGGCAGCTGTGGGTTTTTGACGTTTTGTCCCACAGGGAGAAACAGAGGATTAGGGGAACACATGTTTAGCAGTACAAGCTCTGCCCCCTCGTCTTCTTTTCATCCTTTTGTTGATGTCTAAAACATCTCACGTCTACCTTGTTCTGCCCTGTCTGTGATACTCCTTCCTTCTCACTTTAATTTGTTTTTTTATTTCCCCTTTGCACTGTTCAATCTCGTTGTCCGTCTCTCCACCCGCGGTTCACCCTTCCACCCCTCCACCATCCCGGCCTCCTAGAGAGAGCAGCGCAAGAGCCTGAGGGAGCTCAAAATGTGGCTCGACCAGCTGGAGAGAGATGCAGTACAGGCCCAGGAGACGGAGGGCAATCTTTCTCAACAGTACCAGGTTAGTGTGTGTGTGTGTGTGTGTGTGTGTGTGTGGGTGTGTGTGTGGGTGTATGGCAGCATAAAGTGGCCACACTGGGCACACACGCTTCTATTATTAACTTAATCAGTGGCATTACACTGTGGGGATCAGACAGCAGCCGTCATATTTTCAGTCAGTCTGGCTTATTCCACCAAGCCTCGGGATACATTTCATATTCAGCAGCATGTGGGATATCCTCATCTTCTTTGTACAGGTCTGAGAATCTGGAACCAGACAGAGGGACAGTACTTAGTGGCAATTAGCCACAGATTTTATGAGTGTCTGATGAGACACCAATGGGAGCAGGGTGTGACCTGTGAGGAAGCACTGATGTCTTCATGGTGTAACTCGAATACTGAACAGCCTTTCACTGGGAATAGAGAACTGTCAATCACTTGTTTTTCCTTTTCAGTTGTTCAAAAGTGTGCGTGTGCAGTTGGAGATGAGGAGGCGGCAGGTGGAAGGAGCGCTGCAGTCCACTCAGAGGGACGGGATGCTGACCGTGGATCAGGCTCTGGTCAAGCAGGCCTGGGAGAGGGTTTCCAATAGGGTGAGAGGTTTATGGCTTCGTCCCACCGATTAGGCAAGAGGAAGAATAGAGATGCACACACGTATGGCTTCTCTGGGAGGCCAGGCTTTACAAACATCCTGACCGACACAAAGACCTTTACCTCGGCTTTAATCAGCCACTGGGAGAAGTGCTAATTATTTGATTGCAGTAATGACCTTAAATGAAACCTTCCACCGGTATCATGTGTCTGTGTGAGATTAACTGATTCCATTTCACCTTTATTGGTCTGACACAAAAGCCATCAGTAAAGCATCCTTATGGTCTTTTTATGTTAAGCATGTGGTTCATACTTTACATGGTGAGTGTGTTTCATCTTGAACCAATGTGAACTTTTACACCAAATCATTTTTGTGTTCCATGCAGAGAGCTGGCCTTTCACTGTCTCCTTCTACCCTGCCTAAATAAAACAACCTGAATTATCTGTGTCACGACTTCATTACGTGTCTTTCTTTGACACCTTAACTGTTTCCACTATCTCAGCTCCTGGACTGGCATCTTCAGCTGGACAGGTGTCTGCCAGCTCCTCTGGACACGGTGGGCGCATGGCTGCATGAGGCTGAAGGAGCCCTGCGACAGGAGATTGTCGTCCAACAAGCGCATGACGTCACGGCTACCACTGTACATAGAGCTCTGGAACAGCACAAGGTCAGCATGGAGCCAAACAGAGAGAGAGAGAGGCAAATTACAGAGGAGAAATAGGACAGCCAGAGTGATGCTCACATGATATGCAGTTACAGACACTTTTAAAGGGGCTGCGCTGGTGAAATAACAGTTTAAAGTAGTTCATCAGCATGCAAACTGTTTGACGTTGTACTAATATGCTGTAATCATAAAATGTGTTCAGTTCATCGTGCTTCTTTCTTCATCTTTTCATGTGTTTCTCTGTGTCTGTGATTTGCTGTACGCTGTGCAGGATGTGTTGAGGAGCCTGGAAAGCCACCAGCAGGTCTTTCAGAAAATCCACAGAGACAGAAGTGTTGACGGAGTCCCTGTTCCCGCAGACCAGCTCCAAGACATCGCCGAGAGGTAGACGAAACAAGATGTCCACAAAATACAGCCCAGAATACAGAAGCATGTGTTTCTCATTTCAGACAATATGGTAGCCTGCTGACAGGGATCCAGTCCTGGAAGCACATGAACCACCTAACTTCACATGGTTTCACCTTCTGCTGGTCAGAGGAGCGGCAGAGTGTCAAGCTACAGGGCTCATGTTCTGTATGAACTTTGTCTTTTTTAGGATGAACTTTGTCTCTACATCTTCTAGCATCCACTTGGCTAAAATGGAATTTTTGGAGAACAAACACCACATGCAGGCGTTCCTCACTCTGGCTGAGTCCAAGCTCAAATCCTGGATCATCAAATATGGCCAGCAGGAGTCCGTGGAGCTAATGCTCAGCAATTATATTGTAAGTTCAGACTTTGCTCTGAAATATTAGTTCAGTTTTGAAGTCAAAGTTTTCTTGCTTTTTACATTATTGAAAATTGCATAAACAGTACGTGTATGCAGGGACTCGTTTGACTGCTTTGTGTCTACGCTGTGATGTTAACGCCGTCACTGTAAATTCATCTGTGATAACAATTTAAATTGTGTTCTGTCTTCATCAGTCGTTTGTGGAGAAGCATCGTTTCTTTGAAAACTATGAGGTGTTGTTTCAGACTCTGAAACAGTCTGCAGAGGCCTACGTCAGTGCTGACAGCTCAGGTGAGTGGTTCAAATACAACTCCTGAATACACAAAGTTAACCGTCTGAGGTCAGGTGTTCATATGTATAATACACATTCTGTGTCTTGTCTGATGTGTGTTTATATCTACGGATGTTTTACAGCATTTCTCTGTTCACACCTTTTTATTGGAAAGACGCCGTCGGGTGAAAAACACGTTTACTTACCTTGTACATGTCTGGACAGTGTTTTTTTATTTTATATGCTCAACGACACATCATGAGCGACGTAAACAATCAACACCATGGCTGAGGTTTTCTGTCCTGGACTACAGTTTCCTGCTGACTGTCTCTATAACATGAATTCAGACTGTCTGTCCTACATGACCAACCTGAGGAACCGTTCTAGCACAGGAGGGATTATTGTTGTCATGGAATAAACTTCTAAGTCTGTAGCTTTGGTACATAAAGAGGAGTTTTTAAGTTTTAATCAGTGACCAACGAGGACATTTAATAGTTGCAGGTGGAGGTAGAGAACAGAGGTAAAATCATTATTACACATAATGATATCCCTGAATCATGGTGTTGTTCATTTTATAGGAACTCAGCTGAAGAACAGTTTCTGGATCCAGTTTAACAGCCTGACAGTCATGTAGTGGAAACTTTATTATATTGATGCCAAAATCACATAAAATGTGCAGCATTGCTTTAAGCAGTCCTGGTCATTCATTAGGAACAGAGCCGACAATGATCTGATATGAAAGGAATAGATGTGATATATATGATATCACACTGTCCAACACTAATTACATTCTTTTACTGTTACTTTTAAATTAAATTGATCATTCATCCCCCGACGTATTTTCAGTGACACCATCTCAACATTGTACATTAATATCTCAACTTTATTTTACTGTTTCAACAACCCAGTAACCAGAGAGGCTTTCTCCTGCAGCAGCTCAGTGTTCCCCTGACTGGTTTTACAGTGTGGTGATAGAGCAGAGTCTGCAGGCTACAGCTAAATGAGGTTCCTCCACTCCAAGCTCTCAATGGGGAATACGACCCCATTTGCTAGTTAGGGGCTGCTCCACTTCGGCAGGTCTCTGGGCGCAAACTGAGCTAGCTTGTTGGTTTCATTAGTTTTCAGGGTTGTGTTGCTTTAGGGTATGCAGAGCAGAGAAGTGAGGTGTGGCGAGAAATCAGGACGTCTGAGGTTTGATTGGTCCACCCCACAAATTAAATATACAGCCGAGTCTGCTGGTGCTGTAGCTAGCATCTTAGCCTATGATTAGGTGGATGTAGGACTATGTGGATGTTTTAACAAGCTCACTTTGACATTATAGTGAATTGAAAAATGGCAAGTGTACAGGGTGCTTAATGTGTTATTACCATTTCAGGATCATGTAGTGATCTGATTCTGACATTTGATCAGCGCCTATTTTAAAGTGGATTTTTACTTTTGGTTTATTTCTTTTACACTTCTACACGAGCTGACAGTTTGTGGTAGAGGACTTATGAGACTGGAGAGTTTGCACCAAAGAAATGCCCAGCACACATGATACATCTCCCTGCAGTGAGTTTTTGGGGTCAGAGATTTGTCTGCAAAGGGATGTAGCTCCATCAGCCTCAGTATGCTTTTCATCTGCTGTTGCTATGAACATGTGCAATGTGCAGTGTAAGACAAACATCAGTAGAGAGGAGTCTATACGTGATCAAATAATAGACCTGTAGCTGCTAAACGGCTAATTCAGCTTTTCATTTGTGAGACAGAGAACGCGTTTTTCATTTTACCTTCAAAGGAAATCTCCATAAAGTCAGAAGAAAATTGAAAATAGTGAATATTAAAAAAAAAAAATTCAAAATAAAAATTGGAGATCACTATGAAGACTCCTGCATGCATTGTTTTCCCAATTAGTAGCAGCAGTACTAGCTGACGTTAGTAGTGGTCTTGCAGTGTAATTGTTCTTGATTTGTCTCTCTTTCAGCGGACGAGGGCGAGATGGGAGTACGCAGGTTCATGCGGGAGGTGGTGACTCAGTGGAGGAGTCTGTCCATGGAAGTACGCAGTGTGAGGAGCATGCTGGAGGAGGTGCTGTCCAACTGGGAGAGGTACACCGCCACTGTGGCCTCCTTACAGGCCTGGCTGGA